TATCTACTAACTGGGTCGAAGACGGGGTGCCTCCATTGAGTTGGCGACGCTCTCCGCGTAAGAAACGTCGACCACATCTGGCCAGAATGTCAACATTGCTAGAAAAATTGAATGGAATAACCGCAGGCCAGGTAGAGAATCGTGAGCTGACCCCCTGCTATGAAACTACCCATAAAGCGAAATAGCTCTTGTTAACAGCAATGCTTGTCAGCTCTTTTGCACTAGGACCACGTTTCCAGCACTTCCAGTGCCGTCGCCATGAATTATCGACAGATGCGAGCATCAAGAGCAGCTGTGTTGAATCTGTATACAGACCGATGGGTCGTAATGTAAACGACAGTATGCCGTAAGGTGTATGCAGCATGAGAGTCAAGTTTGATATGTGAGTCAAATCAAACCTAGAAAGGTCTTCCGAGGCTTTCAGTTTCTCTCTCTCGTCGCCAAAATTACAACTTCGTCCGTATTGCCCTTAACCACTCGGCAGTGTACGTGCGGCAGCCTGGGAGGCCACCAATGAGAGTATACGGCGCATCATCCATTCGGTCGGTTCATTGGCAGGTACGTCAAATTTGCGCTGGGAGGCCGCCAATGAGAGTACACGGCGCATCATCCATTCGGTCGGTCCGTCGGCAGCTACGTCAAATTTGCCCTGGCAGCGCCTGGCTGTCGATCTCGCCATTCAATGGGAGCCAGCGCATTGATGCTTGGAAGGCGCGCGCGGAGACCCGGTCGGCGCATTGGCCGCTGTTTGACAATCTCTCAGGTGACAGCAGGCGTGGCATCAATCCAGTCCTGTACGCAGGCCTCTTCAGAAATGTTGAATTTTGCCATGGAGCGGCCTGGAGAATGTAAGCTAATGACAAGTTTATTCAAGGGCTATTAAAATCCCAGGCGCGTAATCTGATAGCGATGTGGGTTGTTGCTTACCATACTGTGTGCTCAAGATGTGGGGAAACCAGCAATTCTTCGAACTCTGAAAACCCAGCCAGGTATGACGTTACACCACGACAGCGCCGGCGGCAGGGCCGTCGCGTCGTTGACGTCACACCTGCTCTGTTCTCATTGGTCAGTTGCCGAATGGCGGCCGCCGGCAGGTATATGAATCGGCGGTAGGCGCGCTGGCGTCTCAGTGATCGGACGACGCAAGCGGGCGACGTATCCCGCGACACGCGTGTAGCGGGGACGAGCTTCGACAGCGACCGGCGTGTCCCGGCACACGTGTACAGTGCCGACCGGCCGACTAGCCAGCCCAGCTCCGGCTGCCAATTACGCCGTTGATCCGTGTCAGATCGAAGTCCAGCGCCCCGCGGCCGCCTCCGAGCCGTCCCTAGCCACCAGCGCCGGGCTCGCCCGCCTGCGAAAAGCGTCAGTCGCGTCTCATCGCACGCGCGCGCCCGCTCTTCCACCGCGCGCCATGGTGCTGGCCCGCCGACTGCTGCTGGCCGGCACGCTGCTGGTGGCCGCCGGCAGCCTGCACGCCCGGCCCGGCCCAAGACATCCTCTTCCCGGGCGACGTGGTGGAAGGCTCGGTGGTGCCGCGCTTCCTTCCGCGCCGGCGCCAGCATCGGCTGTCGCGTCCGACTGACGGCGGCTTCTTCTTCCCGGGCGAAGAGCCACAGTGGACGCGGCCCGAGCAGCGGCGGCGACGAGGCCGTGCTGCCCGGCCGCGCGCCGCCGCGCCCCGACCGTCGTCGGTGGGGGTGGACCGTGCGGCCTACGTCGGCACCGGCCGAGCGCACGCCCCGAGCCGCCGGCGGCCAGCGCCGATCCCGATGAGGCGGCCCGCGCGCCTGCGCCGGCCGTGATTGTGGACACCCCAGCGCCACGGCCAGCCAGCCTGCGGCCCTCGCCCGGCGGCAATCACGTTCGAGGATGGGCCGGCGGCGCCGCTGCGGCCGCTGCCGCGCTGCGGCGGCGAGCCCTACCAGGCGTACAACAACGCCACCGGCGAGTGCCAGCAGCTGGTGGACCGGCGACAACTGTCCGGACGGCTACTGGTTCGTGGTCGACCCGCAACAGCGGCGACGCCGGCTGCCGGCCGCGGCCCTGCCCGGCCGGCCAGGCGCTTGTTTGCCGGCCAGTGCCGACCGAGCGGCGCCGACGCCAACGGCTCCTGCCCGGCCGGCATGGTCGTCTTCCTGGACGAGTTCGGTCACGGCTTCTGCGACTGCCGCGCGCTGCACGTGTACTGGCCGGCCGAGCGGCGCTGCTTCCAGGTGTTCCGGCGCGGCCCGTGTGCCGCCGGCCAACACGTGATGCTGCCCGCCAATCAGACGTCAGCCCGCTGCCTGCCGACGCCGTGCGCCGACGACGAAGCCCTCTGGAGAGAGGACGAGGCGGCGGAGCCCGCCTGTTTTGCAATTAACGAGTACGACCGGCCGTGTGCGGACGGACGGCTGATCGTCGGCGTCGATACACTGCAGCTGGAGTGCGTGCACCTCGGCTTGACGGCCATCTTCGACCTGCCCAAGGTGCGCTGCGCGCCGGGTTCGATGCTCGACTTCCAGGGTCAGTGTCGCGAGGAGCTGTTCCAGAAGTTCCGGTCCGGCTTCCGCACGGTGGCGGTGCCCGAGGCGCGCGAGTTCTGCCCGGCCGGGTTCCACGAGACGCCAGATGGGCGCTGCGTCAACAAGGAACTGGACGGACTCGGCGGCGGCGGCCGAAATAAGACTCGCAACCTTGGTTGAGATCAGCACAGCAGGCTACGCTGGAATCAGCAGAGCACGCCCCGGGAGAGACACAGCACGCCCGGCAGATATCAGCCATAGCACGCTCAGCTGGGATCAGCACGGCCGCCCGGCAGATATCAGCACAGCACGTTCAGCTGGGATCAGCACGGCACGCCCGGCAGATACCAGCACAGCACGCTCAGCTGGGATCAGCGCGGCACGCCGGCTGATATCAGCACAGCACGCTCAGCTGGGATCAGCACGGCCCGCCCGGCTGATATCAGCACAGCACGCTCAGCTGGGATCAGCGCGGCACGCCCGGCTGATATCAGCACAGCACGCTCGGCTGGGATCAGCATGCCACGCTCGGCAGATATCAGCACAGCATGCTCGGCAGAGACCAGGACGGCACTGTCGGCTGAAACCAGTCTAACACGGCGGCTGCGTCCACCCATTTTGGATGAACTATCAAAACCCTATGCCTCCAGATGCTATGTCGCGCCAGCAGATAACACAGAACACAGTGCGGATCATGTGAGCCATAGACTCTACGCAAGCATCTGTTCGTAGCAGGAGTGATTGAAGACAGTTTGCATGTGAGCGAACAAGTGATTACGATAAGTGAAGGAAACCTCCCCGCATAAAGGGGCCGAGGCGGGATTTTTCGTACTGCATACGTGTCAGTGATGAACATTCTTCAGTTTTAAGAGCCGTCTGCATCTTTGTTTTTTGGCCAGTGGACGCCAGAGTTGACTTGCAACCATACAACGTTCGTTGATCGTAGTGAGAGTCGTTGTGAGAGCTGTGGGGGAGATGGACAAATATTTTTTGTGATTTTCTGTGATAGTCCCAAAATAAATATTTACAACACTGTCCTTTGATCATACGGAGTATTTCCAAGACGATGCTTGCCAATCGCCGCAAAACACGTGCCATTTCGCTCGTTATAATGATAAACACGTTGATATACACTACAGCTAAGAGAACAGCGTCGAACATGAGTTCCCTCCAGCGGAGCCCGGCTCAGCTGCCCACCAGGCTGACGCGCGGGCCGGCTGACTTCGGTGGTCTTCTCAGCCCGGGATGTGGCAGCAGGGGGAGGGAGGGGCGGGGTGGGGGCTGTCGCACCGTCACCAGACCACTGCCGTGCCAGCCAGCGGTCGGGGCGACGGGCACGGTCTGCCCCCAAACAGACCCTTCGATTCGGCGACCGACCACGGGCCTCACTCGGGGGTACTGGGGCTTCTGGCCACAGGTCGCATACATCAAGACAAGCCTGCCGCATGCACGCGTGCGTGCGACTCACGGAAACAGAGGTCCCGCTGCAAACGTGCGGCCGTGGCCGGCCCGCCAGTGTCACAGGCGGATTTCTGCCGTATAGTGCGCACGTATGTTTTTATCGCTATATCACTAATCACAAATGCTTTCGCGATACAACACGAAAAACACGCTCAAAAAGTTATAAACTAGCGTACAAATGTCTCACATCCGTCCCATCTGACGAGCCTGAGCTTCTGGCTGTACACAGCGCACTTTGCCAGACACCGCAACCCCAGTAGCTCGGAAGCCAAGGTTGATGGCATGGCAGGGCGGAATGCAATGAGACGTAAGTACGACCGTGTTGGAAAAACGACCCCAAATTTGGCCGATGTCAATTTGAGGATCATCAATCAACCCAACACGCAACGGCTTGAAGAAAGACCCCCGAGAAAACCAACTAGTTAAACCGACAGGTTCATGTGGTTCACAACGCCTTTATCTACCAATCTGTGTCTGCAGCCAATGTGGAAGGCAGTGACGCTCCCACGACACTTCTCGGCAACAGACGCCGGCCGCGCACAGAATCCAAGGGCCACGCCTGGGAAACCCGGGCGCCTGTACACTGCAGCGCTGAGGCTGCAGCGAGCCTGCAAGATGCTCCGCTGATTTCAGCTCGGAAAGCACGCAGGGCAGCAAAAGCAGCGAGACCCCGCGCATAAGGGTCATCCTTGCTGAAACGATCAGTGGTGACCAATTACCAGCAGACTCCAGCCACATCGGCCCTGACTGGAGAGCGTGTGGGAAGCGGCAGACACTGTGGCGGCTGACGGGCCCCAGCCCGCCGCCGTCATGACCGCGGCCTGCAGGCCCAGCCTGCGCCGCACCACTGCAGGGCGGCACGGTGACGGCCGTCGGCCTGTGCAGCCGTGCAGCCTGGCCCGCGGCATAAACACGCCAGCCCTGTTTACAGAGGCCGGGGCCTTCCCATGCCGGCGGGGCGGCGGGGCGGCCGGCTGAAGCGGTGGAGCCGCACACAGCCGCCGCACGCGCTCGGTGCGGTGGCGTACTCACGGTGGGCGTGTCTGGGTTCCAGGCCAGGCCGGCGGCCACCAGCAGGCCCGGCAGCGAGAACACGCCGTGGCTCAGTCCGCCGTCCGCCCGCCAGTCGGCCACGACCATACCGGCACCCATCTGTCACCCAGAGATCGCCGGTCACACAGAGATCATACCGGCACCCATCTGTCACACAGAGATCGCCGGTCACACAGAGATCATACCGGCGCCCATCTGTCGCACAGATCGTCTGTCAAACAGAGATCATACCGGCACCCATCTGTCACCCAGAGATCGTCGATCACGCAGAGATCATACCGACGTCCATCTGTCACACAGATCGTCTGTCAAACAGGGATAATACCGGCGTCCATCCATCACAAAGAGATCGCCTGTCACACAAAGATCATACCTGCAGCCATCTGTCACAAAGATATAATGGCGCCCATCTGTCACACACAGATCGCCTGTCACACAGAGATCATACCGGCGTCCATCTGTCACACAGATCTTCTGTCAAACAGGGATCATACCGGCACCCATCCGTCACAGAGAGATCGCCTGTCACACGGAGATCATACCTGTACTCATCTGTCACACAGAGATCATAATGACGCCCATCTGTCATACATAGATCACAATGACCCACATGTGCGATAAAAAGCTGTCGCCAATGATATTTCGCGGTACGAATGTAACACCAGAAATCAAAGCTTATACCAGCCCCGGTCTGCCACAAAGAGGTTGAACAGAGTCCCATCTGCGACACATAGTTCCCGTCCGCTGCAAAGAGTTCATCTCAGTGTCAATCTGTGACAAAACTATCACCGGACTCCTAATACGATTAACGCATTATGATGTCACCAATCCAGATCCGGATATGAAGCACACAGACAAAAGTTGGATGGCTACAACGCGCGACAGAAATATGAGTTTGGACTTCTTATGCTGAGTTGTCGACATTCATGATGCTAGGAGATACTGGTGAAACGACGCTTCCAAGCAAACATTGGTGTAATGTTTTCATATAAGGAATAATTCATTGCTAACGTCGTTTAACCAGCACCCCATAGCATACTCAATGCCGATCACTGTCAGCATGAGAACTCTGAACGCATAATGCTGAAAAATCAGCACCTCAGGTGCCTTCTTGCTCATATCCAGTGAAACAGAGCTTGAATTACGATATGTGTAGACATCGTTTTCCCACAACTGCGACAAGGGCAACTTTTAATGAGAAGACTGGAACAGCCCGTCGGTCAGGTGATATGCCCGCAAAGCAGGGGGAGGAGCCCATGAGGCCACATGCACAGATCCGGACCCGGGAACCGCATAGGAACTGGGATTTCTAACATCAACATCACATCGCGTCACATCATATCACATGATGGGACGCGATTATGTGAACAGTCTTAACGATCACACTGAGTCGGATCCCCTTTCGTGACGTCCGGTTCTCTGCACGCCGCACAGCTGCCAGTGGTACACGCCCGACGCCATAAACTGTTGCTGTGACGTCACGACTTGACGTCAACACGGGGCTGAATAAGCAACACGCCCGAAGGCCGGCGCGGCCGTCTGGGAGACACTCGAGCCGCTGGCCCTGCCGAGCCACGCGTGGATCCCGAGGGTTCCTGGCGGACCTCTCCCCTCCCCCCCCCCCCCCCCCCCCCCCCCCCCCCCCTCCTCCGCCAGATGCGGTTTTGCCTTTGCGCGGCAGTTCCGCTCGAACTGGTCGTATATTTGTGGCCGGGCGGCGGTGTGGTGCGCCAGCGGGGCGTACGTCACGCTACAGCGCTGGTTTACACGAGAGCGAGGCTGATCGGCTCTCCGGCCTAGCCCGCGCCCCTGTTCGACCCCGTGTCCGGAGACGCCAGGCCATCTCGGTACGCACCAGCTCGGCGGCGGCGCGCGCCGCGTGCGCCACGTTGAGCACCACCGCCTCCGGACAGCCGGCCAGCGAGCTCAGGCGGCCGTGCCGGCGGTCGTCATCAGCGCCAGGCCCCTCTCGGCCGCCGCCTGGCAGGGCTCGCTGAAGTCGTAGTCTGCCT